ATTTACAAAGTTTATTTGGAACAACAGAAGGTCAAAGTTGAGACTATCACTTCTTTACCTGCCATACGAGAGGGGAGGACTACAATTACCTAACTTTCAATGGTATTTTTGGGCTGCTCAAATTAGAGCTGCAACACACTGGTTCTCACCTAAACCTTACTTACGGTGGGTACAAATTGAAAGCACTTGTGCTAAAGACCTGCGACTTGACACCTATTTGTACTCTGCACCTGTCAAAAAGTTGAAGCGAATTACTGATAACCCCTTTGTGAGAAGCACAATTAATGTTTGGCACAATGTACAGTCATTTCTTGGTGAATCTACTTTGTTTTCAGGATTTTCGCCATATGGGGGAATGATACATTCTCTCCTGGCAGTAAAGACCAAGGTTTTAGAATGTGGGCAATAAGGGGCATCTGTAAAGTTATGGATCTATATAAAGAAGGCAAACTAGTTTCATTTGAAGAACTCAGAAAAGAATATGATTTACCCCAGATGTACTTATTTAAATACTTGCAAATAAGGAGCTTTATTTACGCACAGATGCACTTCTTTACAACCCCCTTTGTCCACATTAGATAACTTAGCAGTGAATAACTGTACTGGCAGGGGTCAGATATCCTTATTGTATAATATACTGGTGAAAAATCATAAAGACTCTACCGAATACAGGAAAATTCAATGGATAAATGACTTGCAACAAGATATTTCTGAGGAGGATTGGAGGGAAGTGTGCTCAAAAGCTCAGCTCTTAACAATAAACACCCATCTCAGACTGATTCAGTATTATTGGATTATGAGAATCTATATCACTCTGGTTAGATTAAATAAAATGAATCCAAATATTCCTGATCTCTGTGTTAAATGCAATGTCGAAAAGGGTACCTTATTTCATTGTCTGTGGGACTGTTCCTGAAATACGCAAGTTCTGGAATGAAGTTACAAAATGTATTTCTAAGATGACCTTGAACCCAGTGCCTGACTGCCCTACACTTTGTATTCTTAATTTGTATCCAAAAGACTGTATGCTTAACAGTAAAGAGAAGAAAATCAGTGATTTATGTTTAATACAAGCTAGACGTTTGATCTCTCTCTGTTGGAAAGACGTCAAAAGACCTACGATCGGTCGATGGCTGAAAGAACTATCAGCATGCCTTGTCCTTAAAAAATTTACATATACAATGAGGAAGAAATCAGCCAAATTTAAAGAGATTTGGAATCCCTTTCTTGCATTTTTGGAGAACTGTGGAGTTGAGAAGGCTTTGGTGCCTTAAAGGTGACATGTCCCCAGTTGTCAAGTCGTAATCATGTGATGTTAAGCTGTGTATATTTGTACATATATGTGTGTGTCAATGCCCTTGTTTTCTGTTTTGCGCTTCGTTGTGTTTTTAATTTTATTTCCCTTTGAGGTGGGGGCAGAGGATTATTTTATAGTTGATTGTATATGTTTGGCTTTGTCAGTGCAATTTGTAAACTATTCAAAGTCAAAAAATGCATGTTTATGAAAAATAGAATTTTCAATTCAATTTTATTTGTATAGTACAGTTACAAAACAAGTGCCTTTGTGATACTTCATTACATTTAGCTGATATAAACTGAATACTTCTCCAATTTTATTTGTCGTGTGTTCTACTATGATAAATATGAAGGCAAAAGCTACTTAAAGTCACTTTGTGTGAGACAATTCACACGAGACTCTGCATTGCAAACCTGGCATTTTCAACACAAAACGCTGTTTTAACGCATGAAAAAAAGCAAAGTTGTACTTTTCGCACCATCACGTTTACAAACATATTTCTGCTTCAGAATGTCGTCTGGCATGATAAATATAACGGCAAAAAGTGTTTGAAGTGAGTTTCTGTGAAGGAATTCACAGGAGAACCTGAATGTGAAAAGTGAGGGTTAGGGTACAATCAGGTATGTATGTTGTTCACAAAAGAGAAACTTGCTCTGAACCTAACCTTCAAGTGAAGAAATGTTGTTTTATAATTTTTGTATGTTCTTTCCAGGTCAAGTACATTGTGGAAACATTAGGTCAGCCACCAGACTGTCAGCTGAACTGTGCACTCGGGACCTCACTGTACTTCAAGCTCCTTCAGAACAAGCATGGGGAGAAGTCATGGACTCTAAAGGTATCTATGTATCTATGTATCTATCTATCTATCTATCTATCTATCTATCTATCTATCTATCTATCTAAACACTGTCTCTTCATAGACACCAGAGCAGTTTGAGATGGAAACTGGGCACCATTTCCAAGAGAGGAGGGTTGTCTTTCTCGGGTCTTTGGAGCGAGTAGGTGCTTTTTCTTGGATCAGGCAACCATTAAAACAAAGTTATTACAAGGATTCTTCCGCTCACTTTGATTTCGTGTCTTTCCAGAGAGCGTGTTGCAGCAGCTCAGAGGAGGAGGAGCTGTTCAACTTTGTGGACCTCCTACAAACGATGCTGCAGGTGGACCAGTACGCCCGGATCATTCCGATGAACGTACTGCGTCACCAGTTCCTCGCCGTCCAGCAGCACAGCAACAGCAGCGACAACACCATCCAAGAGCAGCTGTCGGCAGACACGGAGGAGGCCGAACCGATCCTCGCTCAGCAGTCCTCGTCACCGGAGACTGTTGAGCCTCACGTCACAACTCCTCATGACGCGCCAGTTGAAACTGTTTTTGAGACATCAGAGGACAACAAAGAGCCACAAGTGACTCCAACATCTCACGAGGCAACAGCTTCAGCTCCTGTAGAAAGTGTTTCTGGAGGAGTCTGAAGTCACGCCTTGTGAAGATGGAGCCTTAAGTCCTCCAGAAACAGTTTGTGAGGACTTGGTGGAACAAGATTCCCCAACACCGGCTCAAGAACCTCATGAGGAACCTGCTTTTCTTGCTCCAGACAGCATTTCCATTCAGTTGGAAGATGAGCAGGAAAAAGCAGAAGAAGTGACTTTAACACCTGCTGAGGACTCGGCTTCAACTCCCATCAGTGTGTCTGCAACGGTGGAGGATGAGGAGACGGCCAGCATCCAGCCTGGTTAGTCACCTTTCTGAAGCTCTTACGGTGCACTTCTGCTTTTAGTTTACAACAATCTTTCATCATGGTTCTTTGTGATTTTCAGAGATCGTAGCTGAGACCCAGAGAAAGACAAAGAAGGGCTTGTTCAGGAGGCTGATGAGGCGGATCGGCAAAGTGTGCTGCTGCTGAACTGAGCAGCAACCATCTGTTGGCTGGAGGCTGCTGCTGTTGTACATAGTTCTATTTTCATTTTCATTTTTATTCATTGTTTTCCATTTTTATTATATTTTACTGTTTTCATTTATATTTAGTGTTTTCAATTTTTATTATATTTTACTGTTTTCATTTTTCATTTATTGTTTATATTTACATTT